TGAAAACGTTTCTTATCGTATTTTTTCAATGCAAATCAGTATAGCAAATTGTAGTGTTATAACCAACAGAGTAAACTATGACGGTTATATATAAATAGTTGGTTTGTTTAAATGTTGACGTTTCAATGTGGGGAAAGTAATAATTTGTTAAAACGGTTTTTCGTCAGACCAGTCTTGGCTTCACCCTCTCTGCAGGTATGTCGAGTGCTGGTAATCAAATTCATGTTTTGCCCAGATATTGGAGGCTGTGATGCTTCATAGAAGAACTGACATAATTGTGAAAGTTTATGTTTTGCATTGGGATGATCTAGAAGTCTTGGCTGCACCTTGAGTGTAGAGAGGAAGAGGTTGGGTGAAAGGCCTGCAACCCACAAGCCATCACGCCAGCTTTGTTGTTGGTAAATATTCATTGATAATTTATTTATTTATTTATTTATTTATTTATTTAGATACAGTAACATAATTCATCAAAGATAATAAGTCCGACTGTATCAAGTTATGAATTGTAAAGAGAACAACAGACCAGAGTCGGATATATAAAAGTATATTGTAGAAATTAGAAGGGGGGGACCGTTTACTCAATGTACAAGTAAATGATGGAGAGATATCTTTGGAATAGGGTTGACTGTCTCAACAGTCTCAGTTTTTATTATGTTCATAGTAATGACTATTGAATTATAATTAGTAGAAAAAGGGAGGGTGTAGAGTTAACCTTGGACATGAATTAAGTTGGCAGCAGAGAGCATTCCTTGTCTTTATTCTTATAATGCTTATTCGTACTTTGTGATATGCCACTTGTTTGTTATTACTTGCTCATAGAATAAAGTTATTGGCTAAAAATGTTTCTATGACCATTGTGTCTCAGCACACACTCAACAAACGAATTAATTTAATCCACACCACGAGTCTTACCAATATGTTGTGCTACCCACATTAGAATTAGGTATGCAAAAATCTGGTTTTCCTTGACATACTGGCAAACAGTACAATAAGTTTTAACTTAAGAATAACAAAATATATTTATGTTGGTATATGCGGAAAATCGCATGTATAATAGTGGAGGTACGGAGTATGATGGTGAGAGACGAGAAAGAGAGTGATAGAGACATGAACATGACAACATGAGACAGAGTGAAGGTAGAGTGATACAGGTTAGGGAGTATATTAGATATAGAAATTTTAAGATAGATAATAGACACAGATAGATTAGACAGATAGCATAAAAGCTAGAATAGAATTGAGGATGAACAATATCCATAGAAGTAAGAAAAAGGTCTAGGGTGTAGAGCTGCACGAAATAATGGAATGGGGGATAAGATGAGAAGAAATAGTAAGTGAGGATCAGACCACAAAACCACGACACGGCAGGCACAGATTGAACCAAGCCAGGGTGAAGACAATCAGTACAGATTATCCCGAACAATAGCGAGACCCAGACAAACAAACCAACCCTATAGCACCAAGACAAAAACAGACAGACAATTAAATAACAGGACACATGACAACAGGATAGTTCAGGAAAAAACACAGAACCACTGTTAGCCCAGTTTTAGGGGCCCGGAGCGGCCGACGCAGCCCAATCTGATCCAAGAAAAATATTTTCACCCTACCCTTGAGTCTGCTTTCATTAAGGCCACGGTATCTGAAAGGTCCTGACGCAATAGTAACTGTGCGCAGCCGAGTCGTCTGCTGAATACCACCTCAGTACTTCGTGATCTTTGCGAAGCTATAACCTGGAGCTATGTAAAAAGACCGATATCTTTCCCACTGAGTGACCTCATCTTGCATGTCAGTAACAAAACATTCCACTTATCTTTGATTCATTAAGTTAGAGTTGAGGAGTAGAGGACTATGCTGGTGCGTTCATATGGCTGTTTCTATTATCTTAAGCCTGGCCTATGGTCCTGTACGTCCTATTCAGGCTACTTCTAGTGAGATTCGTTCGGAGTGGATGTTGTCTTGTTTTGTTTTTCCGGTTTGTATTTTTATGATTGTTGTGTATTGGCTCGGAGTGTTGATGTTTTGGAATTCTGAGTGCTGTCCATGTGTGTTTTCTCGTTCCAGTGGACTCAGGTTTGAGTTCCCTGTCAGTGGGAGTGTTATTGTTGTATTGTTTTTGAGTATTTGTATATACCGTCTTTTCCTTATTATGTATTATAGTTGTATTGTTATGGTAGAGGTTATAGTTTTTTATTTCTATTTCTATTCTGTGAATAGACGGTTGTATTCACAATTTAATTGTATAATACCTTATCTCTGATTATATTTAGTGATATCTTATTCCTATGCGATTTTCTCCCGCCTCCCCTCTTCTTTAAATATTGATTACGTTAGTTTAATGTGACATAGAGGACCCAGTTGTCTTCTATCCCTAGTCAGTGTACTTTCCCCATGTCCCAGATCCATGTCATCATACATATCTTAGCGCAATTGCTTTCACATCATCATTATTGCCCTTCCACAATCCTTACATTGCTTCCTATTATACATCCAATGCTTC